TTAAGTTGCACCAGATTTTCTTCATATCACATATACAAGGAGAGCTTTTAAATCATGATTTATACAATTTCTGATATTATTCTTGTATCTATAACTAATAAGAATTGCACATTCATTTCACTTGGGTGAAATGTACCCTTGTGCACATGGTCAGCACAAAGCCTATGCACCAATTAATACCTCTTACATCCTCAAAAATCAGGCTTAAGTGAGATTTAAGGTATGATGGCCTTACCACGCAGCATGAGACTGTGGGGCGGGTCTTGGAATGCAGTGCATACCCCCTGGGTTGCCCTGTTTCAAGAGTCAACCAATAGGCTGGACCTCAAAGAAGAGGGCTGTCAATGGGTAGTTCTGGTCCCTGCAACAGGCTCTTGGGTTGACTAACTAGGGCTGGATAGCTCTATGATGGCATGGAGATTGATGGACCTAGAATAATTTCGTGGGTATTCTGTAGAGTTCGAGGACCTATGCAGTCAGTTTATGCAATAATCTTTCTTGACAAATAAGCACACAGGTTCTGTTCATTTTAGTGATATGTTGACTGTCATGTTTGGGATTTGAGCAGTGAAAAGGGTGAAGGCAGGTAACAAAGGGAACACTGAGAACCTTCCCCTTTTTCACTGCTACCAGGACAGTTTGACTTGAGTCGTTATCCTGCTATGGAATTTATACAGTTGCGACCAACCGGCCAACAGTACAAGATGTTTTATCTGTCGTGACTGACCCCTGCCATTCACAAGTGGTGCATAGGGCTGCACATTGCACATAGGGGAATTTTGTCCTTAATATTCAGTTTCCTTTCTTTATATCTCCATTACTTTCATTTTCAGCTAACATACTGTATGCTCCCTGCTACAGTACACTAAGTTCACCAACACTGAGCAACCATAAGTAATTTGCACCTACCAGCAATTTTTAATGATTTTACCATCATTACTGAGGTAAAATATTTTCAATAGGAAAATTCAATATTTTTACATTATATGCTGCAATTCTACTCAGACTTACATTTTTAATATTTAAACAAGGAACATTATGATCCTATTTCACTTGGTAATGAGTTATGAGAAAAAGTAATACAGCAATAAAGATGCCAACAAGATCAAAGAGTGGACTATATTAACATTTTGAAAAAACATTTCATATTGGTACTAGGACACCTGTCTAATTGTCTAACCAATGTTTTCACAAAATGGTCTGAAATATTTTATTTTTTAAGTAAACTAATGGTTTGAAGAAAACTTGGGAAGTGCTTACAGCATATTATAGTACACTTTAAAAACAGAGAGCTGATGTGGAGACATTGAGTCCTTATTTCTTTTGACTTATGTCATATTTATGAGACAAAGAGCAAGTCAAGAAAGAGGCCATACATCACATAACAGAATGCAAAGGGAAAGAAATAGGAAATAATAGCTACAGGGGGAAAAAGGTCACTGTGGAAAAAAAGTGTGAACAAAAACAAAAATCAATTCATTATATCAAATACTAAGAACACCACTACACTGTCATTAGAGTACCCTGCTATCATCCATTTTAAAATCACCAGCAGTCAAAATGTTCTAAGGCTAATAGCACTATAGCAACAGCTGACTACAATGCAACTAAAAGGTTTTAAAAGAGTACTATAAATCAAGTGACAGATACCTGTCACAAGACTATATTATTATGTCAAAATCTCTGTACTGTGTAGAGGACTTTAGTGCCATAATAATGATGGAATATGTTTACTCTAATCATTGACAAAAAAACCTACTTCTGTTGTACAACAGGACTTTGAAAGACTTATAAAATTACCTAACATGCATGAAACAGTAATCATGATACAATGGACATGTCTTTGTATTTTAAAACATGAATGTGGTGCTTCTGAAAAGTACCAGGTGATAGCCCTGGAGAGTAAAGACCTTTAATTGTTTAAGGGACTGTCACAGTATGAATAGCAACAATGCAGACTTCCCCACACCTTCCAGTCAAAATGGCTCTCCATTCCTCTGTCAAGACTATTCGGAAGCAGGGGTACTGGAAAATTTTTTACAGTGGGAGTGCTGAGAGCCATTCAACCAAATTGTAAACCCTGTACATAATGGAAATCACTTCAAGAGACGGGGCGCAGCAGCACCCCTAGTTCAAGCACCTATATTGATAAAGTGAGAGGGCAGTTAATTTTCCATGCTCATACAATCCTCTGGTCCCTCTGCTAGGCTAAATGGGTGCCAACTGTGGTATCTGGGTTTGTGATATGGATACCTATCCACAGCACTCAGACTGAGGTCAATTAATTTTAAGTACTGATATTTTTTGCTCATTCCTGGACTGGGCTGGGCTGAAACCAGTGACCTAGAGATGAAATAACAATAAAAAACAATATTACTTACATCAAGTGCTTTTCTTTCACAGGTCTCAAAGCACTTCAGAAAGGGTCTGTGTAACAGGTTCTATTGCAAATCCTGTGTCAGATTACTGTACCTCCATTGTCCAGGTATCCAGTCCCCATATAATTAATTTTGAAATACTCATTTAGAAATGCACCTCTTTTAATGGAGTCTTTTTAATGAACAGCAAAGACTTTGAACTAGCAAATACTATTTTATAGATTGAGCAAGTTTAACAACTAACTCACAAAAAACTCTGCAATGATATTAGACTTGATAACTTGGTTAAAATAAAAACCCTGTATAAAGTAGACTGAACAGATTTCATCTTGAAACTATGGAGATATATGCAGTGTTGCCTTAGGGTAGTTACTACTCTGACTTTTGTATCACCTGCCTCAATTAATTCATGGTGAACTTTTCCCGTATATCAATTGTCTTTTACCACCAGATTTTATAGACTGAAGCAATTTAATGTGCTATATGCATTTCCTGTCTGTATATATTTTATCTTTATCAAAATATTACTAAAGAAGAAACCAAGACACAAATTTTGCAACTTTTACTAGACTTGCTATAAATTTTACAAAACAACAGTGTTTAAAAATGCCTGAAATAGTCAAATTATTTTTTAAAAATAGTCAGCCAATTAATTTCTTGCTACTGTACTTCTAGTCATTCTGAAATAGCTGTATGGTTCTCCCACAAATCTAGGAAATATTTCAATAACTTAAATATGCTGATGAATGCCCAGTGATACACATCAAAGAACATCCATTATCCATGCTGGATCAAATAAAATGCATCCAGGGTCCAGAATATTACAAAAGTAACTGTCTCCCCTATAATGGCCCATTTCTCCTCTTCGATCCCACTGTAGCTATCTCAATGTGAGCACCAGAGAAATGTTTTAGTTTCAATCAGCTATCCTGTCAAGGGATAAATTGTTCACTAAAAAGCTACCATTATGTTTAAAGAAATCATAATATGTAAAGAAAAACAGTTTGCCAGTTCAATAAAGTCTTTTCTGATGCTGTAAAACATAGCTGTTGTTAATCTTGATGGTTTATAGTGTGTATTGGCCCATTATCGATTTTGCTTTGAGTACCATTAAAACAATATTAGAATAGAACCAAGATTCAATGCACTTAGTTTGTCCCACAACTCTCCTCACAAAAACGGCTCATTTGAAAGTATTAAATATATAAAAACCTGAAATATAATTTATTAATTTAATCAGGTGACAAAAATCAAAGGTTTCCCTCTCATAATATGCTAATAATTATTTATAAACACGTAGTACCCATTAATACAGGACTTTTGTTGTAAAATATTCCTCTAACTACACAGTCACATGTCCACTAACAAGCATACAATTATCATTAAGTCGTTAAAAAAATAACAGTCCAGAACTGATTCATGAGTGGTAGGAGACAATATCAACAGAGACAATATGTTCCCCAACTCTGTTCCTTTTTACTACCAACTCCAACCCTGCCTTTCTCGCACTCCATGACACCATGGAACACGATCTCATGCAATCTGCTACTTGGAGGATTTTATACCACATTATGCTCTTCTTCACAACGTACAATGGAAAGTAGCATATGACCCTCCGTTTTCAGATTCTTGTGACTATCTGGGGTAAAAAGTATGTCCCCGGTTGGATTTTCCTCTTCTTATTTTTCCCATTATTCCCGCCAAAATTACTTTAGTAGTTCACATTTTAATAGAGTCTGAAGGCATATAGGACTCCATCTGGCCCAAAAACGGAGACATTTCTGATGTCAGAAGACGATACAGAGAAATTTAAGTTACTGCGTTCCTGTTAAAAACATCTTCTTGAAAATCATTTGGATCACTGTAGCTGATAGAAAAACTCAAAATTCACTCTGCTTTGGAGTGGTCTATCCATTTGTACAGCCTTGAATGACAGGTTGTCATATCTCACATTGTAAAATAATGGGTGAAATTGATAAAATCAGCAAGGAAGTGTTAGAATAAATATCTCCCTTCCCTTTCTTTTCAACGGAATGTTCTGTTGGAATACTCCAAGTCCATACACAAACATAAGGCCATTTTGTGCCTATTAATCCTTGGACATGGTGTTGAGCTGCACCACCACAGTAGGAACTCTGAGGGGCGTTCTCCACCAGTAGTGACCATTATAGTTAAAAGCTTGCAATTATGCTTGACCTCAACATGACGCAGAGTGCAAGGAACAATTTCCCACCTTCAGTCCTAACACAGAGGCCAGCAACAATTTCAGTCACTGTTCTGTTCTACTTATTGTAGAGACTGCTCCTTGCTAGTCCCCAGTTGGGAACAGAAATTATTCCAAATGGATAGGAAACAATGGGATCAAAGGCCCTCCCTAGCAACCACGAAACTTCCAGTTGTGACTGGCCAGTATATGGGCACCAAACATAATCTGGCTTTTCATAATAGTAGTCACTACTATTCTGGGGGACTCATATGATATCCGATTAATCTTAAACACAAAATCAGTTGCTCTCAAAACAATGACTCAAAAAATACTACGGTATTTACTGATAGAGTTTACAGAGCTAACTTTGAAAATACACACTACATGTCTAATTATATTCTCCATTAGCATCTTACCTTGCTTGGCAACTGAGCAGTAACATCTCTCTGTTATTAATTAAAACCTGTAACAGGACCAGAAAGGCTTTTGCTCGAATGGAAGTTGATGGACTTTCAAATAAACGGATAATGGTAGTCACAAAATCCTGGGTGGAAATAAAAACAACACACAAATACTGCTTATTGGATAACAAAGTAGGTAAATAACGTTGTCCATTAGCGTATACACATTTTGAATCATTCTGGCATAATAAAGACGCGAATTACGTTTGGATTCAATATTCGTTAAATCCTTTTCATAACATTAAAATACAGCCCAAAATCCCACATGGTACTGTTGAATAAGGGAGTTTTGTCCTAGACAGATAGGCTGACTGCAGTGCTGATATGTGCAGCCTTCCAAAGGCCAAGGTTAACAGACATTTTCTACTGTATTGGACCCAAAATAGGACTAACAGGTTATTTAAAACACACAGAAAGCCATAATTAAAGTTATTTCATCCTAACAAAAGACAAAACAAAGGATATTTTAAACCCAATAGTTCTTTTAAAAGAAAAGTTGTAATTTTAAAAATTGTAAAAATACATACCAGTACTTGTCTTTCTTCCTAATACTATGAAAGTTAGTAGTTTACATACTACCTTCAATGTGAGCTAGAAGATCATAAGCTAATACAAATAAAAAAATATTTGCTTGATGTAACTATAGGCTAGTTAAGTATACCGTGTACTATGTGGCACATCAGATCTAAGTTACATATCAAGGACCCTGGATTTAAAAGAAAACACTGTTTCCCTCTGTAACTATGCCTGGTATGGGTCAGAGCTGAGGGCCAATCTCAGGTCACACTGTGAAAAAACTGGGAAGACACTCCCACACTGGTGGCATATTCTATGATTAGATTAATCAAACCAGCAATAAATGTGAGCTACTGGATCACTATACTAGCTTAACATGAAGCCATAGGCAGTCCCTCTAAACCTATATTATCACCCAAATTGGATTTCTGTGATGAAAGATTATTAAAACCACACATTAGGTTCTTCCAGCCCCAGGAGGCCAGTCACTTACATATAGGGTGACCAGATGAGAGACGTGAAATATCAGGATGCGGGGAGAGGGGGAGGAGCCAGCGGAGGAAAATAAAAACCCAAGAGCCGCCAGAGCATAGGAAAAATTGGTGGGGGCTGAGCACTCACCGGCAGCTCCACGCCCCGCCCCCCCGCACCAGCTTGCCTCTGCCTCCCCTGAGCGGGCTGCCGCGTCCTGCTTCTCCCCCCTCCCTCCAGCACTTGCGTCGCCATACAGCTGATTAGCACAAGCCTGGGAGGGAGGGGGGAGGAGGAGGAATGCGGCATGCTTGGGGAAGAGGCGGGATCCAATGGGGCAGTGAGGGGGCGGGGCTGGGGGCGGGAATTTGGGGAGGGATCCAATGGGGGAGGGAGGGTGTGGAGTCGGGGCGGGGGCAGGGCGGAGTTGGGGCAGGGGCGGCAAGCCCCCTCCGTCTGTGCGCCGGAGGGCAAAATATCGGGACAATTCGCGTCCCAACCGAACATCAGTCGGGATGCGGGACAAACAAGTAAATATCGGGACAGTTCCGATAAAATCGGGACGTCTGGTCACCCTACTTACCTAGGTCAATGGATGCTCAAGACCTTACACCAAAAACAACACTGTAGTCAATCCTTTAGTAAACTAAAGATGTATTAACTAAGAAAAAGGAATGAGAGTTACTAAAAGATCAAAGCAAATAAAATACCTTACAGTTGGATCAAAGTATGTAGGCCAAATGATAACAGGGATGTTAAATCTGCTAGTTTTCTACAAATCTCTCTGGGTTGCTGTATCAGGGCCTTCTTGGTTCTGTTTCTGTCCAGGACTACAAACTACACAACGACCCTGGTGCTGGTCCAACACCTTGTGCAGTTTATTTAGAAATGGAATCAACATCACCTTCATAACATATACAGCTCCTATAACAAGCACTAGGGGAGAGTAATCTCTCTTGCTCTCCCCTCTTACTGCCTGCTTCCCCCTTTTCCAGGGCCGGCTCTGGCTTTTTTGCCGCCCCAGGCAAAAAAGCGGGCGAAGGGCGGCCGGAGCCCTGGGAGGAGAGCGGCGAGCCCCGGCGGGGGCTCCGCTCTCCCCCCGGTGGCCGAGGGGAGGGCAGCCAGAGCCCCGGGGGGAGGGCGGAGAGCCCCGGTGGGGGCTCCTCTCTCCCCCCGGCCGCCGGGGGCAGGGCGGCGAGCCCGCTCTCCCCCCGGCGGCCAGAGCGCAGGGGGCAGGGCGGCGAGCCCGGCCGTGGCCCCGCTCTCCCCAGGGGCCGGAGCGCCGCGCCGCCCCTCTCCAGGTGCCGCCCCAAGCACAAGCTTGGTGGGCTGGTGCCTGGAGCCGGTCCTGCCCTTTTCACTTCCTTCCTGTGCCTATTTGTGGGCTCTGGCTAACTGCTTAATTAGCCTTTCTGCCATGTCCCACCCACAAATTTGGCACAGCTCTGCTTAGTCAGCTCCAATCTGTCTTGCCTGATTGGAGCTGCTATGAACAGAGTGCTGACTCAGCCTTTATTGCCTGGCACTCTGTCACAGTTGCCCAAATAATTTTGGGGATCTCAGTCCTTTTATTTTAAATTTTCCCAGTTAGAATTCACCAGTCCAGAAATGGGGTAGAAAAGAGGTGGCCAGCTGCCTTTATTCTTCCCCTCTTTATACCTTGACCCTTTTTGCTGGAAAAATCCTGGCTGTGACATGGGTCAGGCGGTTCCATGCCATCAGTCCTTGATATGAATTGCAAATTAGGCTGGCACTTCCTGCAAATGTTCCATCTGAGATGTCTTTGGGATGACATACAAAGACCCTTGTTTACAGTTCTTTTGTTATTCCTGAAGAGCCAGCCTGGGCATTTCTCAGACTCATAACATGTTTGAGTTAAACATATAGTGAAATTTCATAACTCCACACACAGTGTTGATACACACATTACAAGAAGATAATTCTCAGCAGATATCTTTTCAAAGGATACCTCACAAGGCATACTTTGCACAAGATTGACCACACTTTTACAAAAGTGGTGACCATATTAGTGTAGATGATCACCTTCCCCTTTAGACAGCAACAAAATTTCATCAGCTTGTACTGCATTTTGGAAAGAATTTTCTGCTCAGAACCCAGAAACCAGGCTGACAGTTGAAGGGACTTAAAATTCACATGCAGCATCTGACCTTTGTTCTGAGAGAGGACATTCAGAATCAGTGCCAGGAAGAGGTAAGTGTGTGTCAGTGGGCAGAGGCGGCTAACAGAGTCAGTCAAGCAGTCAAGGTCATGATATGAGAATTACTCATACTCTGTCCTGTGGTATACTATAATTCCTTTTAGAAAGAGTGGAAACTGGGACAGAATGAGGGAGAATTTTCTACCACTGAAGAATAAAATAATCTGTTACCAATTCTTGAGTAACATTCTGGAGAGTCCATATTGTTCCAGATTTTAAGTAAGTCCATCTCCAGAAGATGGCTCCATTTGGTGATGGTGGAGTTTGCTACCATGGTCCCCAGGGCCCTTCATGTTGCTCCTGACCCATTTGTGTCCATTACTAGATAAACTCTGGGTGGGAACATTTCATTCTCAAAATGCTATTCCCACATACAACTACCACCCAGGACAGGAAACTTAGACTCTACCTGGTGGATGAGACAGTACAATGCATCTGTATTGTTGCAAATGAATAGTGATTTTAGCATGATAGAAGAAAGTCTCTGAAAGCCAGCCTTAAATGTCACAACGTTTACATAGCATCTGACCTCCTTCAGTTTCCAGAGTGCATAAGCTAATGAGTGGCTCAGTGGGGCACACTTTCTGAATTTGAATGCACCCAGTGATGTACCTATTACAAGAGATGAGGTTGCCTGAGTTATCAGAAATCCCAAAAGATTACTATAAAGATCCTTTACCAGTTTGTGCAGGGAGCTACAACTACACTGAAGTTGTGCACAGGTGAGTAATAATGGAAGCTCAACCAAGCAGAAAGAGTTCATACGTGAAGCCATCCAAATTGCATAAGTAACTTACAAAAGGCCATGGATCCTAGGAATAGCGAGGGTGGGGAGGAAACAATATACCTGTTCCCTTCAACTGAGATTTTACTTAGCCCTGGTCTACACTACGAGTTTAGGTCGAATTTAGCAGCCTTAGATCGATTTAACTCTGCACCCGTTCACATGATGAAGCCATTTTTGTCAACTTAAAGGGTGCTTCTAATCGATTTCTGTACTCCTCCCCGACGAGGGGATTAGCGACGGTATTGGCCTCCGGGAGCTATCCCAGAGTGCTCCATTGTGACCGCTCTGGACAGCACTTTCAACTCAGATGCACTGGCCAGGTACACAGGAAAAGCCCCGGGAACTTTTGAATTTCATTTCCTGTTTGGTCAGCGTGGCAAGCTGATCAGCACAGGTGACCGTGCAGCGCTCATCAGCACAGGTGACCATGGAGTCCCAGAATCGCAAAAGAGCTCCTGCATGGACCAAATGGGAGGTACTGGATCTGATCGCTGTATGGGGAGACGAATCCGTGCTATCCAAACTCCGTTCCAAAAGACAAAATGCCAAAATATTTGAAAAAATCTCAGAGGGAATGTAGGACAGAGGCTATAACAGGGACCCGCAGCAGTGCCGCGTAAAACTTAAGGAGCTGAGGCAAGCCTACCAAAAAACCAAAGAGGCAAACAGCCACTCCGGGTCAGACCCCCAGACATGCCGCTTCTATGATGAGCTGCATGCAATTCTAGGGGGTGCCCCCACCACTACCCCACCCCTGTTCGTGGACTCCTGAAAGGGAGGAGTCTCATGCAACAGGGATGAGGATTTTGGGGACGAGGATGATGATGAGGAGGAGGAGGTTGAAGATAGCTCACAGCAAGCAAGCGGAGAAACCGTTCTTCCCGACAGCCAGGAACTGTTTATCACCCTGGAGCCAATACCCTCCCAACCCTCCCAAGGCAGGCTCCCGGATCTTGAATGTGGAGAAGGGACCCCTGTTGAGTGTACCTTTGTAAATATAATGCATGGTTTCAAAGCAAGTGTGTTTAATGATTAATTTGCTCTGAAGACTTAAAGAAGCCAAAAGACTGTGGCTTACCATGGCTGCCTGC